AGGATCTTGGAATGAGGGCTGGGGTGGAGAGGACACAACACAAGGGCCCGGTGCCTGTGGGATGAGGAGGGATAGGTGCTGTAGAGCCACTGTCTCCAGACTGGGCTGAGCACAGTGCAGGTGAGGAGAGAGGAGCACGACAGCAGCTGACGTGGGCAGGGAGCAGCAGCGGTCCGAGGTCAGCAGAACGAGGCCAACACTGGGGTCAGGGCTGTGCTGCGGGGCAGACAAATGTGTGTGCTCAGGGCACAGTGCCCTGCAGTGAGTCATTGTTGTTGGGGCTAAGCGGAAACACATGTCCAGCTGCGTGCGCTCCTTCCACAGAGCTCCAGAGATGCTGGACACTAAAACAGGAGCAGAGAAGGGGAATGGGAGAGGGCAGCCCCACTGAGCTCACAGCAGGTCTCAGCCCATCACAGCGAGACCCACCCCAAAACAGGGCCATTGCTCCCCGAGCACCACCAGACCTGATCAGTGCTGGGGCAGGCAGAGGTGGAACAGGAGGGCTGATGCCAATGGACACCTCAGCCCAGCCCCAGCCCTCCAAAGCCCAGCTCTGAGCTGCCCCCAGTGCCTGGAGCTACTGGGTGGCCGCTCAGCAATGAACTGAGACAAAGGCCACTGCCTGCAGCCCTCTGCCCAAGCGGTGCTGGGAGCACTGAGGGCACCGCAGCGTGGTTTGCAAGAAGAAAGGTTGCACCCTGCACCACTGCAGGGAGCAGCCAGGCAGGTTCTGATGTGTTTGTCCCCTCACAGCCCTGCACTCAGTCTGCACAGCAGGCAGGATGACGTGACTCTGCACAGGATGGTGGCTGTGAGGCCTCCACCTGCCTTGGTGAACCAGGCTGGGAGCAGAGGGCACACAGTATCTCCCAAGGGACTCTCCCCGTGAGGCCTTCCCATGAACACAGTGACCAAGCAGACAGTTACTGACACATTTGCTGCACCATTTATGCAAAAGGGGAAGGAAAAACAGCTAACACAGTGAGAAACATCCTGATGAAATCCCCCACAGCTGTGATGTCTCAGCTCGCCCTGACCTGGCTGCCACCCTGCTGTGGTCATGGCCCCAGTGAACACCCTGACCCCGAGAGAGCCAGAAACAGGGTGGGACCTGGCCTGTGGCCCCCCTCAAATACACTCCTCTCCTGAGGATATTTGTCTCACACACATACCCTGTGTGCTCCTGTAAAGTGCTGGGGACACCGAGCAGAGCCTCTCCTCCTGTGAGTGTGGAGGGGCCCCAGGGCCCAGGTCAGAGCCCATCCCCAGAAAGGTGAGGAGAGGCTCCACAGCTGCAGCACCACAGCTGCAGGGATGTGAGGACAGTGCCCTGGGCACCAGGCTGGCACAGGGGCAGAGCAGCTGAGCTCCCTCCTTGGTTGCAGATCCAGAGCGTGGCTGTCATCAGAGCCAATGACTCCCTGCAGAGACTCTGGACACCAACACCTGCAGTGCAGCGAAACCTCACTGCCTTGACTGCTTCAGCAGCTGAGCCTGGGCTGGTGGCAGGGAGCGACACCCTGTGGTGGCAGTCCTTTGCCACCAGGTGCCACTGCCGAAACACTCGCGCCATTCAGGCTGCAGCAAAGCCAGTGCTTTACACGGGACGCCAACTACAGAGCTTGGAGAGCTTCCCGCGTCCCTGGATCGGGAGGCACGCTGTGTGCTCCTTGTTCTGAGCACACCAACAGGGCCCAGCCCACGCCCTCCCATCCTCCCTCACCCCTCTGGTTTCTAGTCTGTTAAATAAACTCAATGCCCTCATATTTCACGCTCCCAATCCAGGTTTCAGGCAGGAGGAAGCGCCCATCCAGCGTGAAGGCCATGATGTAACTGGCAATCCTGCCATTGTCCTCCTCCGATTTCAGTGCCACGATGATCTGATCATCTGTGTCCGGGATGAACTTGAAGGAGGAGAAGCCGTGAGTGGGAACCACCTCACCCACACGTCCCACTGTGATGTCCCCAAAGTCCTGGCTGGAGCTGAGCAGCAGGTTGGTGCCACGTTGCTCATCTGCCTTCTCGTTGTAACGCTCGTTGCTGGCGCGGCGCGGCAGGAAGAACCAGCGCTGCAGCGTGTCGCTCCAGGAGGCCGACTCGTGGATCAGGTAACCTGCAGCAGGGAGCAGGGTCTGTCAGTGTAGGGCACCCAGGATCCTGCCACGCTGCAGGGACATCCCCCTACACCAACACCAACCATCCTCGCTTCAAAAGATGCTGCAGCAGAGGACAGACATATGAAGGCCAAAGCTGTGAATGGTTCCACCTCTTCCTGCCCGGTGCCAGCCCCTTTCCACCCCCCAGAGCGGGGCAGGGGCATCCCTGGCCCACGGGAAACAGCTGCTGGATGCGACTCCAGCCATGCCATCCTCCAGAAACTGGTCCCACCAACTGAGAGGAGAGCCCGGGCAGGGCAAGGGGCATGCAGCAACAAGAGGGAGCTCCATACCTGGGGGTCGGATCCCAGCCGCAGCCCGCAGTGCGTTGTAATTCATCACCCAGTTCTCGTGGCTCACATCGCCCTTGTAGCCAATAACCTTCACCCACTCGGGGTTCTCATTCACCACCTCACCCGTGGTGGTGGTCCACTCCTTGCCCAGGCCCCCCACGTACAGGTGTTCATCTTTCACCGCCAGCCACTCTGCCTTGAAGCCTGCAGTGGAAAGAGCAGCATGAGCCGTGCCAAGGCTCGGCCACACACGGACGTCAGGGTACTCTACAGCCCCCCAGCACCATGCAGCACAGCTCAGCACTGCACCCTCAAACCCTGCAGAATGATAAAAAGGTGCAAAGAGACAAAGTCTCCCTGCCCTGTGTGTGTAGGTCAGGCAGTGAGCAGGGCGTTACGGGGCTCACCTTTCCCCACAGTGCCATCCCCATCTGAGAGAATCACCCAGGGCACTGCCTTGTTGCCCTCGATCTGGTAGACCACCCCAGTGCGGTCATCCACGGAGTACAGCTTCCCATTGAAGACAACCAGCTCCGAGAGCTCCATGCCCCGGCCCTTTTCCGCCAGATGGGACTGCAGCACGTTCTCCTCTTTATCCCACTCCACCGTCACACTGTCCCCGCTGGCCGACAGCACCAGATAACCCTTCTTCAGGTAACTGAACCAGGTGTGCTCCTCAGAGCCCCGGGACTGAGTGTCCAGGTCCGCAATGACCCCGATGCGGTAGCGCACGCCCTCGGGGTTCCTTTGGGGTGGGGACAGTGGATAGGTGTCATTGTAGCGATCCTCCACCTGCAGCCGAAAGTGCCGGGCGTGCGGGTTGGGCAGGATGGGCCGTGCTGGTGGGGAGCGGTGCAGGCAGAAGAGCAGCAGCACGAAGCCCACGCAGGCAGAGGACAGCACGATGGCCCTCCAGCGCAGGCGAAAGCGGGGGTCGGCACCTTTGGTCATGGACGCGAGGACGGGCAGGCTACCCACGCTGATCCGCAGCGGGCTCATAGACTCATGGCAGGGCGACACGGGCATCAGCCTGCGGGCGAGGAGAGCCTGGCAGCGAGGAAAGAGCAGGTGAGAGCTGGAGTGCAGCGCTGTGCTTGGGGATGACAGCAAGGCACGGCCTCACGGTGAAGCAGTGGCCCTCAAAGGGCTGCTTTGCTGCAGAAGCCTTTCTGTCACGTTCAGCCCCTCATGTTCCCCATCGACCCCAGACCAAAGCGAACCCCAGGCTGTGTGCTGGGCATCCTCACAGCAGCATCCTCACCCACGGAGGAGAAGAGCACCAGCACTGCATGCAGTGATGACCAGCACAGCCCTCACCTCCGGCATGTGGAGCTGTGCTGATGAGCGTGCCCTGCTCCTGCGGGGACAGCAGGGACACGTGGCAGCCCCGCCCTAGCAGGATGCTGACACCTGACCAGGAAGTGCAGCGCCCGGCTCCGCGGGGTGCACAGGCGGGCCTACAGCCACAAACACAGCCTGTCCCAACACCGTAACCCTACGATGCGGCAGCCGCCGCCGACCCGGTCCGCCTCGGTCCCATCTACCCCCGGGCAAAGCTGCGCTGCCCCGCCGTGCCCATCGCAGGGACGCACCGCGTGCCCCACACATCCTGCCCGGCCCCGGGGACACCGCACCTCCGGGGACCCCCCGGTCCACGCCGCGCCCACGCCGCAGGGCCGGGCGGCGCTCCCGCGGTCCCTCAATGCCCTTTCAGGCGGCCCCGAGGCTCGGACAGAGGCGGCATTGAGCGCGGTGCCGCTCCGTGGCACCGCACGGGGCACTGCGGGCCCGGCGGCTCCGCGTCCCACCCCGGCGGCCGCCGCCCGCGCCCCGACCCGCCGCAGCCTCAGAGACCCCCGCCCCGCTCGTGGCCCGCAGGCGGCGTTTCCCCGTCGCCGATCCCGGAGCCGCCGCCCCGAACAGCAGCGTTCGGTCCCCCGCCGCCACGCACCGCTCCCGGGCAGCCGTCACACCACACACCGCAGCCGCCTCGCCCCCGGCCGCGCCGCCCCTCGGCCCCTCGCTCACCGCGCCGCCGCCTGAGCGCAGCCGCCGCCTCCCCCGCCGCCGACAGCAGCCGCCTACAGCTCCCGGCAGCCCCCGCGCTCCGCTACGGCAGCCGACAGCGGCCAAAACAGCGCGGGGCGCGCAGAGCAGCGGCGAGAACTACAGCTCCCAGCAGCCCCCGCGCTCCGCGGCCGCTCTCATTGCGCGGCGTCGCGGGGGTGAAGCGTGCCGTGCGGCCCGGCCGGGAGCGGAGCGCGATAGGAGCCGCGGGGCGGCTGCGCTGCGAGCCAGAGCGGGGGGGGCGAGAGGGGCTGAGTGGGACACGCGGCCCAGCCCCATTGAGGCCGTGGCAGCGGATGAGACAGGGGGAGCGGTGCTCGGAGCATGACGTGGGCACAGCCCGGGGCTGCCCGGCATTGGCCCCGTATCCCCGGGCAGCCGCCGCTCTCCCACCGGCCCGCGGTCCCTTTTGGACCGGCCGCTCCACGGACCCCGTTCCCCGGGCCGAGCTGTGCTGTGCGGGGACAAACCCCGCTGTCCAACACAGACGTGGTGGCAAATCGCCCAACACCGTGCTCAGGGCGCATCCCTGCTCAGGGCTCCACGGGGTGCTGTGCATAGGGCAGGGCCGTGGCTCCATGCCGTGGGACAGCCGCAGCCCCCAGGCACTGCCCTCCACGCTGCCTCTCGCATCTGGAGCTGCTTTTTGGCACAGACACCCACGTTCCCTGGTGCTGGCAGGCGCAGGGAGCACACATGGTTAACGCCGTCCGCCTGCGCTGGGCCCACATCTGGCAGTGGGAGGGCTGCGCCGTGCTCGTCCCGCTGCTTCGCTCTCCTCCTTTGCTTTCCAGAAGTGCATTTCCGCCCGGCCATAGGAGGAGACGAGGCTGTCACAGGGGCAGGCTCTGCCCCACGCCGACGGGTCTGGCAGCGCGGCACCAAGCAATGCCCCAGAGCAGCAAAGGCGGCACGGGGAGAGAGCGGCCCTGCCCCAGAGGTAGGTGTGGGGCAGGGCTGGGGGTCAGTCACCTGCAGACACAGGGATGAGCGCTGTTGTGTGCGCATCTGTGCGTGCCGTAGGGCTCTGCGGCATCGCTGCTGGGCCTGGGGGCCCCGTCCCACCCTCGCTCTGGATAGTCAGGCTTGCACTCTGTCCCGCCTGCAGGAGGGCGGTGGGGACTGCGGGGCTGAAGCCTCGCCTGTTGTTGGAAGGGCACAGCTCAACCTGCAGCAGCACCGGGGGGGCAGGCACTGGGAGGGAATTGGTGCTGAAGCTCCAGCTCTGAGCCCTGTGACCAAAACACCCCGTGACCACGTCAAATCCAGCGCCGGGCCAACCCAGTACAGCTCTGCAGGGACTGGTGGCTGCAGGTGGGAGCACAGCTTCTCATGGTGCGGCTGGGCGCTGTGGGAGCTGGAGGGTTGCGACCTCTCTGTCAGCCTTTGGCTGCTCCGTACTGCTCCCACCCTGCTGCCTGCTGGGTCTGGGCTGCTCCTGATCTGCAGACAGCTCCACAGATGTCCCAGCTGCTGTGGCAAAAGGCCGGGAGGCTTATCTCCAGCTGCAACTCAAAAAGGATTGTATCCATGGCTGGTGAGCAGGAGGGCGAGGTGGGCATGCTGGTCCTGCTGCCTCTAGACCCCCCTGTGCGCTAAGCCCCCTCGCTCCTCCCCCCGGCATTTGCTCTCCTTTTATCCTCGCCTTTAATGCTGCCTGGAATGTTTTCAGGATGTTTTGACTTGCAGTCCCAAGGCTTTAGCAGCCCCTGAATTTAAATCTCCAAACAGCTCCTGGAGAGCATCCAACCCCGACAGGAAAAAACAGAGTCCCTTCAGCAAGACTATGTATGCCCGTGCAGAGACGCGTGCTGCCTGCCCGGCGTGCCTGCGGGGTGCAGAGGCAGACGTGCTCAGGGCTGGGAGCTCTGCATGCTGCCCACGGGCACACCATGCTGCTGGCAGCACTGTGTGTGCATGGCAAGCTCGCCTCCATTTCCAGCCCTGAGACAGCCTGGAAACGAGCTGCCTTTCTCATCCTGGCTAAGGATTTCTTCTCCCTGCTGAGCAGTCTCCTGTGAAGCTATGCTTTCCCTGGGGCTGAGCCCACTCTGGGTCCCAGGGAGCCGTCTGGCTCAATAGGAGCTCTGCACACTGTGAGCCCAGAGCAGGGAAAAAGCCACGGATTCCCAGCAGCACAGCAGGTTGTGAGCTGCACTCACCAGCATAAGGCTGGCACAGCTGGAGCCAAGCAGGGAGAAGAGAGCCAGGGCTAAGCTCCCAGGATGGTATCTGCTCACGAGCCCTGGGCTGGCCTGCTTGTGCTGCTTCTCCCTGGCACACAGAGTTGAGCATGGGCAGGTGGCAGGCCAGGGCATGGCGATTAGGCAGCGGTGCCAGGCTGCCCACGATGCCACACAGCCCGTGGTGCCACCAGCTCTGCTTCCAGCAGTGGGCAGCAAGCTGAGGACAACCCCGCTCCAAGACTTCCTTGAGACAGGGTGGGTGTGGGGGAAGCGTGTGAAGGGATGGGCTCTTTGCAGAGGGCTGGCGCAGAGTGAAAGCCCTTTGGAGCTTTTCCCCATTCCTCCACCCTTTCCCTGTTCCTTGAACATGACTCATGAGCCAGGAATCCTGGCCTCGAACGCCCTCTGCTCCCGCTTCTGGAGCACGCCTGTCCTGGTCCACACAGCCCACAGACAGCCCACCCCAAGGCAGTTCCACCCTGACCGTCGCTAACTGAGGACCCAGGCACTGAAAGCAGCATTCACCAAACTGTTGGATTCTGCCTCAAAGTCCAGCGGGGCCCCCATTGCCTCTTCCCATCAGGACCCCACTGCCCAGCTCACGCCCAGGACATGGACTGTGGCACAAGGGGCCCTTTGCAGACCTGGGCATACAGAGCTGTGCCCTGGCAAGAGCCCACCTCACCAGTGCTGCTGTGGTGTCCAGCAGCAGGGAGGTGCCACATGCTCTCCTGGCGCCTTTGGGGCCATAGGGCGCAGTGCAGGGTAATTGCACCGTGCCTCAGAGCTGATATGGCAGCGATAAGGCGAGGAAGGGCTGGGCTGCAGTGCCACTCGCTATCGCTAATGTTAGCTTTGGCCCCATCAGGATGTGGACTCCCAGCTGCCAGTGGCTGGGTTCTGGCCAGGGCCACCAGCAGCACTTGAGGCTCAGGAGAAGCAGTTTGGGTTCCCTTGCAAACCCCACAAAGAACCAGGGCATAAGGACTGGGAGCTGGCAGCTCCTGGGGCATGGCAGCTGCTGTCACAGGATGCTTGTATTCAGTGAGGGATGCAGACCCCCGTGGGCAAGTCTGGGATCCCCCAGGAATAGGTACTTCCTGGAGCATCATTGAGATATGGGGGCTTAGGTGGATAAAAGCAGCCATTTAGTTACAGATAGTCTCTGCATCTGCAAGAGATGCACTTGCCCTTGTTGTGGGCTCTGCTGGAGAAGTGGTGCTGCAAAAAGAGCCATTTTCAGGGCTGGAGGTATGGCTGTGCTGGTACGTAGTGCACCAGAGCCTGTGCTGGGCACAATGCAGGGCACAGACAGGCTGACACAGCAGTGCAGAACAAACAACTCTTGGGGACAGAACACAGCACTGGGGGTGGACCCACGAGCCCTGTCCCTTGGCGAGGAGGTGGGAAGCTCAGAACCCTGCCTGGACCCCACAGCTGCTGGTCCTGGCAGGGAGCCCCATAGCCGGGCTGTGCCCTGCTGCTCTCGTGCTCCCACACTGTCCCTTCCCACCAGCCCAACCCTGCTGTAAAGCCCTGATCCCTACCTGCCCCCTGCCCACTCTGGACACTGCTGGTCTTTGCCATCCCCCTCAGTCACTCTGGTGTCTCACAGGGTGCTGCTGCAGCATGGAGGGGTTTTGGACGCTCGGAGTCTTGCTGCTCTCCTGCCTGCTGCTTCCCAACCCTGTGAGCAGCCAGACCAGCCCCAACCCTGACCAGCATCCAGCGGAGCCCGAGGAGGTCCCATCCAAGCACCAGGCAGTCAGGTGAGAGGGCCCTGGGGACAGAGGTGCTCCCACTGGGGATGGGGCAGCCCCTGGTGCCAGGAAGGGCCCGGCCTCCACGCGCAGCTCCTGTTGCGCTTTGCTTTCTGCCCTTCCCAGGGCCACGCAGGAGCAGAAGGACAGCGGTGCCCAGGAGGGGCTGCCCCCACGGCCCCACTGCGTCCGCTGCTGCGAGCCACCCGAACACCGCTTCTACCCCCGGTACCAGCCCCAGATCAACATGACCATCTTGAAAGGTGAGGGCCAAGGGGCACTGCCTACAGCCAGACCTGCAGCCCGGCACCCGTCCCACTCCCAGTGCTGGGTGGGAGATGGAACTGGTGTCCAACCATCCCCTGTGCTCTGCCAGGTGAGAAGGGAGAACGCGGTGAGCGGGGCATGCAGGGGAAGTTCGGCAAGACAGGGGTGGCCGGCAGCAGGGGCCACACGGGGCCCAAAGGACAGAAGGGCAGCGCAGGCGCCCCGGGGGAGCGCTGCAAGAGCCACTACGCTGCCTTCTCGGTGGGCCGCAAGAAACCCCTGCACAGCAACGACTACTACCAAACCCTCATCTTCGACACGGAGTTCGTCAACCTCTACAACCACTTCAACATGTTCACGGGGAAGTTCTACTGCTACGTCCCCGGGATCTACTATTTCAGCCTGAACGTGCACACCTGGAACCAGAAGGAGACCTACCTGCACATCATGCGCAACGGAGCCGAGGTGGTGATCCTTTATGCGCAGGTGAGCGACCGCAGCATCATGCAGAGCCAGAGCGTCATGCTGGAGCTGCGTGAGCAGGATGAGGTCTGGGTGAGGCTCTACAAGGGCGAGCGTGAGAACGCTGTCTTCAGTGATGAGTATGACACTTACATCACTTTCAGTGGGCACCTCATCAAGTATAGCGGGGACCCATGAGTCCTACACCCCCATCCTGCTCCCTGGGGTGAGGGCCTGCAGAGGCCCTGCTGCTCCCCTTCCTGGGCACGCCACTCTCCTTCCAGCTCTCTTGCTACATACCACTACCCCCAGCTGTGTGAATACTTCTCCCCCCCCCCCCCTCACTCCCCTCAGCTCCTGGAAGTTGATTGAGTGCACTTGGAGGAGATGGAGACATTTGTAACCTCTGCCGTATCCCTGACCCAAGGGCTGGTTGCTCACCTGGAGCAGGCAGGGACCTCGTCCCCACCTGTGCCAGGCTCAGGGCTGGGTGTGCTGGGTGTCCGTGGCACTGGCTCGTAAGCTGGCACCTGCTGGAGTGATGTGAGCACCTCTGCTGCCCAACACCCACCAACGCACTTGATGAACGGGAGGGAGCAGTTATAAAGCCACTGAACATCACTTCTGCAGAGCTGTGTCCCCTGGGCTGGTGCTTCCCCAGGGCAGAGCAAGCAGCAGGTGGGTGCAGCAGCCCTCTCATGTCAGTTCCCTCGCTGTGCCCCATGCCACAGCCACATCTCGATGCCAGCACCCATCGGGAAGAGCTGGCTCCCAGCTGCCCGACATGCAGGTCCTTCAGCCTCAGCCCCATCCTTCTCATCTGGAGATCTGCTGGGCAGGCTTTTTATTTTTGTAGACGCACTGGCAGTGCAGGGCCGGGGGCTGCCTCCCGCTCCGTACACTTGTGATCGCATTAAACACCCCACGGGTTCGGTTCCTACTCACACTTCCATCTCATCTCGTCGCTTTGTGCTCAGGGGCACCGCGAGAGCCGGGCACGGCCAGGCAGAGAGCAGCGCTCAGGGCCGAGCTTCTGCGGGGCACGGCGGGGCTGCAGGCGGGGCCAGCGGAACCCGAGCGGCTCTCAGCCCAGCTCGGCGCTGCGCCCGCCCTCAGGACGCGGCGGGGCGGGCGGTGAGGGCGGGCCGGGGCCGGGCGGAGCTCGTAGGGCCGCGCCTCCAACAGGCAGGCCGGGCCCGGCGCACGTTGCCGGCAGTGCGGGCGGAGCGGCGGCAGCGCGATGGCGGAGGCGGCGGCGGCGCTGGACGGGGCTGCGCGGCGCGGGAAGAGAACGGCGGAGGAGGAGGAGGAGGAAGAGGAAGAGGAGGAGCGGGGCGGGCGGCGGCGCCGGAGGTTGGGCCGGGGACGGGAGCCGGGAGCGGGGCGCGGAGCGCTCGGAGCGAGGCCCGGTGCGGCGGGCGCTGGCCGCGGTGCTGCCCGGCTCGGCGCGGCGGCGGACACGGAGCGGGGCGCGGAGTGCCGGGCGGCCACCGGCCTCATTCCTCTCCCCGGGCAGCTTCCAGCCGGCGGCGGAGCCTCTGGGAACCACCGTGCTGCACGCAGCCGTCAGCACCCGCCCGCAGCCGCTGCCAGGTGAGGGGCCGGGACGGGCCGCCCTGAGCCCCCCCACGCACCCCGACCCCATTGACCCTGGTCCCGGTTCATTGCCTCCCCAGCTCGGTACTTCGACACCGGCACCACAGAGCCCATCAGCTTCTTCCTGTCCAGCCTTGAGGAGCTGCTGGCCTGGCAGCCCAACAGCGATGATGACTTCAACATCTGTGCGGTGCCGCTGGCCCAGCGTCAACCCCCACTGCACAGCCGGAGACCCCGCACGCTGCTGTGCCACGACATGCGTGGTGGATACCTGGAGGACAGGTGTGTGACACCTGGGGAATGGGTGCATGCACTCCCGGCATGCTGCTGCCCTTTCTCCACCCTTCACTTCAGTGTCTGATCTGTTTCCTGCTGTTGGCCTCTCCAGGTGGGGCCAGGGGGGTTTATCTCTGGCTCTGGAGCTCTGTGGATAGGGCCAGCCCCGCTGGAGTGATAGGAGTGACACAGTGCCCAACTCATGGGCTGACTCAGGTCCTGCCTGGCTCCATGGCGTCTCTCCAACATTGCTCAATGCTTCCCTCTGCTCTGCCACAGGTTCATCCAGGGCTCAGCCACACGCAACCCATACGTCTTCTACCACTGGCGCTACATCGACATCTTCGTCTACTTCAGCCACCACACTGTCACCATCCCACCTGTGTGCTGGACCAACGCGGCACACAGGAATGGCGTCCCGGTGCTGGGTGAGGGCAGAACCGGGGTGGTGGGGAGCTGGGAGCCTGCAGGGACACACAGCAACGCTGCTCCCATTCCTCCCCAGGCACTTTCATCACGGAGTGGACGGACGGTGAGAAGCTGTGCGAGGCATTCCTGGCGGGTGGGGAGGAGGCGTACCGTGCCGTGAGCCACCAGCTGGCCCGCATCGCCCAACACTACCGCTTTGATGGCTGGCTGATCAACATGGAGAATGCACTGAGTGTGAGCAGCCCACGCCCTGCCTGCATGCTGCCCCACGGGGCTCAACCCCAGGCCCCACCGTGGGTCCCCGTGGATGGGGCCATCCTGTGTCCAGCTGCTCTCTGCTCTCTCTTGGCAGGCGGCGGCGGTGGGGAACTTGTCCCCCTTCCTGCGGCATCTGACTGCGCAGGTGCACGGCGCGGTGCCGGGGGGACTGGTGATTTGGTATGACAGCATCGTGGAGAGTGGCACGCTGAGATGGCAGAATGAGCTGAATGAGCAGAATAGGTGAGAGGTGGGGCATGTGCCTGCGTGAGCAAAACCAGCCGTGGTGAGGCACAAGTCCATCCCTCACCTTGGCATTCAACGACTATGGAGCTCAAGGCACGGCTGGCACTGCCCCTTGGGGTGCTCCTGCACTGACCCTCATCCCCAGGTTGTTCTTTGATGCCTGTGATGGGCTGTTTGTCAACTACAACTGGAAGGAGGAGCACCTGGAGCGCACACGTGAGCTGGCTGGGCAGCGCCACGCTGACGTCTACATTGGTGTCGATGTCTTTGCTCGTGGGGATGTGGTTGGTGGTGGCTTTGACACCAACAAGGTGTGTGTGGTTGAAGCAGGATTGTGTGTCTGCCCCTGGTGCGTGGCTCTCAGCTCTCTCCAATGGTTCATCCACACTGTGCTGGGGTAACTCAGGGTGCATTGGTGAGAGCTGAGGAAGCCTGGGATCCGGTGCGCACAGGGCTGGGGCTGGGAGATCCTAGTGCTGCAGGCCCTGGGAAGGGTGATGCTGCAGTACCATCCCTTCACCGTGGTCCTGGCACCCAGTGGGACCAGCAGGACCTCATGGAGAGTGGATATGACAGGGGACAGAGTGACCACCCGTCCCCCCCTGAGTTCTGTGCTGCTCTCCACTTGTCTCTGCAGTCACTCAGCCTGATCCGCAAGCACGGCCTGTCTGCAGCCATCTTTGCTCCTGGCTGGGTCTACGAACACCTGGGAGAGGAGAACTTCCTGCAGAACGAGAACAAGTGAGTGCAGGATGCCTGCATGCTTTGGTTGGTCTGGCTGCAACAAAGGTCTCTGCTCTGATGCCCACCCTTTCCCCCAGGTTCTGGGGCTTGCTGGAAGACTACCTGCCCACGCACAGCATTTGCACGCTGCCCCTCGCCACCTCCTTCAGTGTGGGAATGGGCACTGGCATGTTCCTCGCTGGGAAGGTGGGTGCAGGGAGCAGCCTGGCTGCAGCCCCCAGGGCTGGGTGTGGACACTGGGTCCTGCTCCCGGCTCCCTGCTGCCCAGTGTTTCCTGTCCTGTAGGAGGAAGAGGCCGGGCCATGGTACAACCTGAGCGCCCAGGAGATCCAACCCCTTTATCCAGAGCGCCGGGGCCAACTGAGTACCAGCTGCTGCCTGCAGGATGCCTGGTGTGGGGGCAGCTCCCTGCGGGTGCAGGGCACCATCCCTCCCGGCGAGGAGCGCGTGGCCATCCGGTGAGTTGGGTGCCAACTTCCCACCTCCATGGCTGGCACTGTGCTGGCTGCAGGAGGCCCTGGCAGAGCTGTGCCAGCCCTGTGCTGAGTGCCACAAAGCTCTGTGGCGAGTGCTGCCCGATAGGCCTAACCCAATGTACCTTCTCTTTCTCTCTTCTCTCTCTCTGTCTCTCTCTGGGTGGATTTGGGGTCATCAGCCTTTTCTCTTTCCAGATGCATGCACCTCCCAAGCTCTTCCTGAACCTGCTCTACAAGATGGAGGGGCCACACGAGGATGACTTCACGGTTGCCCTGGAGCTCACCACCTGGCACTCGAGCAGATGCCACGATAGCACTGTCACTGTGCTGCCGAGTGAGGACGGTGAGGACCCTATGCCTCCTGTGCTGCCCACACTCACTGCAGGGCACAGCACTGACTCAGCTCATTTTGCCTTCCCACAGAGCCCCACAGCCTCCACCACCCCCGTCTTCTCCCAGCCCCACCACCTGCCCTCTCCAGGCTACTTGCTGCCTGCAGTCACGGTGCCCAGGGCTGGACCAGCCGGTGAGTGCCCTGCCAGCACCCTGCACCCTGGGCACGCAGGGATCCCCGGCCCTGCTCCAGCTCTGTTCCTCTGCCCCAGGTGCTACGAGCAGGAGCTGCAGGGCTGCAGCCTGCGCGACCTCTCCCTGCTGGTGTCCAGAAAACAGGCCAGCCCACAGGAGACGAGCTTCAGCTGTCTCCTGGGGGAGCTCCGGGTGGGTGCTGTGCACATCCTCACTGCATGGTGGGATGCAAACCCAGCCACAGCCATGCCTTGTGCTGATGGTGCTACATTCTCCTCCGCAGGTGCTGGATGCGGGCAGCATGGCAGCCTCTCCACCGCAGGTGCAGAGCCTGACAGCCTCGCAGCTCTGGTGGCAGGATGGCCCCAACGTCGAGCAGCTCTCCCTCAGCCTCACGTTGCGCTGGGCCTTTCCCCCCAGGAGGGCTGCCTGCTTCCGCGTGCTCAGCCAGGGCACACGGTGCCACCGGGCGCAGCCGCCGCAGCCGCAGCTCCTGGGGCTGGCACATGGCTGCCAGTACCGTGCGGTGGGGCTGGCGGTGCCACGGCCTGCAACCGGGCAGTCGTGCCAGCTGGAGCTGCTGGTGGAGCCGGTGCTGCCCAGCGAGCTGCCAGTGGGCCCGGAGCAATGGGGCCGGCTGCTGCTGGTGTACTCTGAGCCGGCTGGTGGCAGCAACCGAGCTGGGCATTAAAGGTGAATGTGGCACAGCCCTGACTCCGTGTGTCCCCTGCACCAGGTGGGGTAGGAGATACGGGGACACCGCCGCTCAGGGCTAAGTTTTAGGGTTCCACTTGCAGCCCCAAAGAGCTGCACCCTTCATGAATCTGCCTCGGTGCTGTCCCTTCTTTAAGGGCTGGCAGCCGGCGCTTCCACCCACAGCGGCTCCCTTGGATATCTTGTGTGGAGAAGGAGAGAAAATTTATAGCAGCAATTATTTTATCACAGTCTGGTGAGCAAGCAATTAGCAGGCAGGGACGTAGCCGAGCGTGCTGCGCAGCAGGGTCGTGCAGCCCCGGCTTCCTCAGAGCGCCAGCCCCGGTCCCACAGACAATACTGGCTCCCGTTCAGGAAAATTAATATGTCAGCATTGAAGCTGCTGCTCCTCCGTGGGCAAATTGCTCTGAAATAAATTATAGGGTGGTTTGGAAAAGGAAGGGCTCGGCACAGCTGGGACCCTGCCGCAACGTAGGGACCCCCAGCTCCGCTGCGCCCGCGCCCCAGTCAAAACTGGAGTCGCCCTGGTTGAAGAAAGAAATCTTTATTAATAATTTCCATAATAATAATAATAATCCTTGTAGTAATAATAATAATAATAATAATAATACTGTTTATTAGAATGGTCACACCTTTGAAGCATACAGGACGGGCCGGCGCCAGCCTGCAGCCGGGGCCG